AAAAATTCAGACATCATCACATAGTCTAATGATTGAAAAGGGACGCCACCTAAACATACCGAGACCAAACAGGATCTGTCCAGTTTGTCGTAGTGGGGTTGAAGATGAGTTTCATTTTTTACTTCTCTGTCCCGCCTACGACAAGCTGAGGCAGCGCTATATTCCAAACATATACACTAAGCAGCCCCGCCTACAACACCAGTTCATAAACCTAATGGCCAACACAAATCCCCCAAACTGTTAGAAATTGTGCTAAATATTTATTTTATTCTTTTCTTAATAGAGAAACGTTGTTAGAGGAAGCAATTCTTAATGATATCTAACTATTGTATTTAATTTTTATTTAATCTTTACCATGTGTAACCTGTGACCGCATATACTAGTGATGTATCTTTGAGTGTACTTAGGGCCGGCGGCCTATGGTACTTTGGAAATAAACATTATTATACCAATTACATTGAAATAACATATTGAAGTGTATTTCGTACAGTGTCTCATACCCCAATTCTGGGATCTGACTGTGATGATACTTGTGTAATCATTATAACATGGTTAGTCTGAATCTAGCAATCTGATTGGCTGAAACAATGTCTCATTTGGCACTGGAAGACCTGTGATTCCACCCAAAACTGAATAAACTGGCTTAAATATCTAATTGAATGGAAATCACATGACTGTGATTGGGGGTTTATTATGATTTTGATGTCTGATATAACACTATAATAAGCAAAAGGAAAATTTAAATATTTGTTTGCCAGTGATACATGTTATTGTTTTTCATTAAAATTCGGAACTTCCTACAATTGTTTAAGCTCAGATATTCAGATATGTTATTCACGCATTTTGCCATACAGTGCAAAGTCTTGCCATCTCTTCAATTTGCTCATCCATTTTTGGCCACTCTCACTTACTCTCACGTTAAATATACCTGGATGTTCCCAGTGCAATTGTTCAAACATTTTCTGTAGGAATAGGAATAATTAATCTGAAACCACAAAGAATACAATTTTGTTCAAAAGATAACTCAAGTCTTATATTATGGTTTATCTCTGGCCATGCTGACATACTTTACTAAGTACTGGAGCAACACTTTCACTTTCCCTATAATGTATTTTGCTGTAATTGTCAAATCTTCATCAATGTCACTCATTTGATAATTTACAACCTCACTGCCCTCTCTAGAGTCTTCATGTGACAACATAGAAAGTGAATCACAATTAGAATGATATTCTATACTTAATTTTATAGTCATACCGAATCGTGCATATGCATGTGACAACTCAAGTTTAGTGAAACCTTACAATCCTGCTAGCACTGTATACAAGTCTTGGGTAGTAGGAAGTGGATATTGTTCATCATCTACAGATTGGTTAAGGTTTACCTTGTAGTCACTACACATTTTCACAGCATAATCAGATTTTGGTACAACTACTATTGGACTTGCCCAATCGGTCCAATTTATCCAACTCGTTTTCAACTTCATCTTTTAAAGTATGAGGACTTGACATGATTTAATGTGTGCAGGCTTTACAATATCTTGCATATTCTTTTTGTGCTTAAACCCAGCCATACCATCATAACCTTCTTTATATATTTCACTATGTTTTGATAACAGATCATCAAGTTGAATTTTGGCACTGGAAGATTCCTATTTAAGATGTAAGATGGCGCCATGACTGCTACAGTGTGTGTTCATCTTCTCTACTAAACATTGTGGAGGGAGTCGGTTAGAGGGAAGCTATATTGCTGTATCATAGTGTGGGTGCTCTATAAAGCTAACAAGTGTATACTGAAGCAATTATGGAGACAAAAACAGCTGAAGAGACCACCAAACGGATACCAAAACCACTCAGACTTTCAAACTTTGAATATGCTGATGACTTTGCTATGGAAGAGAGTGTAACTTCAAACAACACAGTGAGTAGAAAACCCAATATTCCAATGAAGGATATTCCCAGGAATGAATCTATTTATATTGATTACAAGCTGGTTGGAGGCATTAATGTACCTTGCGATGTTAAGTTCAAATGTGAAGAAAAAAAGGTCTTAGTGTTGATCAATGTGTGTAAACAATGGTTTAATGGAGAAAAAAAAACGGTAAAAATGTGGTCGTTTTCTGGTCGGAAAATACAGTGCGGTCGGAAATTAATTAAGCGATCGTTTAAAAAGTGGGAAGTTGGACAAAATGAGTACTGTGGTTCAAGTGATATTAGCATATTTTTCATTTAGTTTTAACTCGTACAATATTTATTCACTCACTGTTTACTATAGCCAGAACGCTGTACTGTCTTCACTTTCAGGTTAGTTCTTCCGCCGATTTCTCGCAACCAACAACTTGATTTTTTATTTGGGATTTCGAGAAACATAACATGAATCGTTACGGCATTCATAACACAACACCTCGCCATGTTTCAACTTTTAAGTAGTCAGTTAACAAGGTCTTTCATAGTATCATTTCTATGGGATTGGCGTACTATCATGAATGGGTTCAATTATCAGTGTTCACTGATGACGTCATTTGACTGGCCCTCTAGAGGCGAAATGACACCAGGAAAAGCGGAAGTTTGTCGTCTGCTTCACAGCCCGTTTTATACCCGATATTTAGGGCATTTCGCAGCACATACAAGTTATTTTTATCGACAGAATCCATTCATAGATCTCAGATTTCATGTACAGAGTGTCAAAAGCCACACCTCTGCTCCCCTTTAAATACAAGAGCTGTCGGTAAAAAGTTATGTTTGAATTAGCGTAGAAATCAAAAGTTGGTTTTTATTTCCATGGATGTTAATTATTAGACATACTATTTGACACGTTAAATTGTCAGATTTGGTCACATTAGTATATTAGCTTAATTGCTTAATTGCTACTCCATATAATAATTATTACGAATAAAGTACTTTAACCTACCCTAAAGGATAAATATATTGCTTACAAAGTTACAATCTTCCCGGTCTTTAAAACATATACGATAAATTATGTTGTAAGTTTCGTATTCATTGTTAACGACCCAAATGTGTATTAATTTACATGTAATATAGTGGTCGCAGCGAGAACAACGCCCTACTGCATTCAAAAAACTGGCAACGCATTTCCGCATGCATGTTGTCAATCAGTCACGATTTTTATTTGGCATATAGGAACAATATTATCACGCTCTTTTGGAGCTCTATTGGGTAAGGAATACAAAATGCTTTTCGAACCCTGGCCAGAAAGCAACGCCCAAATATTTTTAATTTCACGTTCCGTTTTTTTTTTTTTAGACAACTGAAAGGGCCCAACATATCCGATGGCAGTCAAAACATTGTGGAGCTAGGGATGGGAAGTATTAACGGCTGGATCAACTTGATCAACAACATTTCAAAATGAGTATTTGGGTAGAGGGCGTGTCACCTTGTCAGTTTATTGCTAGTAAATGCTTCACCTCCAAATTTATTTCGTGGACGTAATGCGGAGTAATTTTACTGAATACAGCGGTACTGTGTTTACATATTTTTGTTTTCAGTTTGATCTTGATACGACCTTCAATAGATTGTTCAATCCCTATGCCGACTAAATTTGTAACCGCGAGACTGTTTTATTCGTAATGTTGTGACATTGTATTCATTTTATTAGCAACAAAAGACAATATATAAAACCAGTGTAACGAGTACATCTGTATTCCGTGCTAAATTGCCGCGACATTTTCTAATCATGGCGTTAGATTCCGCCCTGAAGTTGGAGAGCAACTATCTTCGGGGCGGACATCCGGGCATTTTCACCGCCTGGCAACCATCGCGGTGAAAACAAAGGCCAAAAACTCGCAGAAAACGGTACTTTGTGATAGTTGTTGATCAATACCGTCAGTTCACGACTTTTTTTCAATAAAAAATATTTTAGTCTTCACTCATGAAGTTTGAGCATGATGATCAGTCGGGTATGTCAGGTATATGTACTCATTAAAACGAAATGGCTGCAAGTCGGCCGTTTTTAATCCAATCATGAAAACAAAATGACGGGCATCAAGGTGCCATTATATTAAACGTGTGTACCAAGTTTGAATGTTATTTGTCTATGGACGACCGAGATCTGGTTCCGGAAATGTTTTTTTTTTTTTTTTTTTTTTTTTGACGAATTTTGAGTATAAAAATGGTCGCAATATGAGGGAAGTTTGAATGATATCGGCCCAGTCATATAAAAGATAAAGGTGGAGACACACGGATGGGGCCGGGAGAACTGTTTTGCTATATCCTCGGGGGCGGACTACGTCACAAACGTTCCACGTTGCTAAGACGCGCACCACTGTACAATGCATTTCTATGGGCTCCGTGCGCGCTGCTGTGGAACGCCGGTCGAGCCGGTGAAAATTCAGAAAACAACACGAACTCAACTTTGAAGTAATTCCGAACAACCAAATTTATATATGTTACACACGTAGGGCTAATCTTGTTGCACTGTTCAGAGGAGTCTCAACAATCATTCCAAAGTACCGTTTTCTGCGAGTTTTGGGCCTTTGTTTTCACCGCCGTGGGTT